TTGTGTTTTGTGGCGGTCCATCAAAATTTCCCGCCACCCCACAGACACGCCCCCTCACTACAGTCAACACATATCATCAACAATGTGTTTTGCATTTTATAAGTAAATTTCAGCTGGATCTGATCATCCTGCGAGGAGTAGATCATGAAAGTATAAAACGTGATACTTCCTGTTACCAGTATGTGGCGCTATCACTATGTCTGAATATTGTCATGTAGACGTGTTCAGGGTGGGACTGTTATCAAACACGTGAAGTTTCATTGAGATTGGATCATGTACACTGAAGTTATGAGGACATGTTCAGGGTGGGACTGTACACTGAAGATATGAGTAATATCTGTTTGATGGCCAATCGGTGGAATTCGACACGTCGTCACGGGCACGTGGTGTAACGTACAGTCACAAATAGCACAACTTTTGATAACCAATGTGTCTAGATTGCAGTGATCGAATTTGAAGTCAATCTGATAAAATCTGTAGGAGGAGTTAAAACAGAAGCCCTTAAATGCTGGAAATGGAATCACAGTTTGACATTCGATTAAACCTGGCCAACTTTGAGGGCACACCACAGACGCGCCCTTTAACGTGCCGTCACAAATAGCACAACTTTTAATTAGCACCATTTTTTGAATGTACTGACCAATTTTGAAGCAGATCCAATAAATTTCCTAGGAGGAGTTCGTTCAAATACAACGCAAAAAAACGCTGAAAATCATTGCAAAATGCCGGAAATGGCATTACAGTTTGACATTTGATTCAACCTGGCCAACTTTGAGGGCACGCCACGGACACGCCCTTTAATGTACATGCACAAATAGCACAACTTTTAATCAGCACCATTTTTTGACTGTATTGACCAATTTTGAAGCAGATCCGATAAATTCCCTAGGAGGAGTTCGTTCAAATACAAGGCGAAAAATTCACCGAAAATCCGCACGGAATTCACTATGGCCAACTTTGAGGGCATGCCACGGACACGCCCTTCAACGTACATGCACAAATAGCACAACTTTTAATCAGAACCATTTTTTGACTGTACTCACAAATTTTGAAGCAGATCCGATAAATTTCCTAGGAGGAGTTCGTTCAAATACAACGCGAAAAGTTCACCGAAAGTGAAACTTTAAATCACAATGGCCGACTTCCTGTGAAGTTTCGGGTATGGGTCCAAGTGGCTTTTTTGTACGTCACGGCATGTTACACGTGCCTACCGAGTTTCGTACATATCGGTGAAATGTGGCGCCGGGGCTGCAGTTTTTTTATCCTGTAGGGGGCGCTACACACACGACAAACACGATTTTTGGTATGTGAGCTTCAGGCACTACTCTACACGTGCCCTGTGAATTTCATATTCATAACTATTACGGTCTCCGCACAGTGATTTATCATGCCAAAAGAGTGCCACCTAGTGGCGTATTTTTTTTGTCCTTTTTAAGTGAGCCTCAGGGAGCCATGGGGAAGCAAATTATTCAAATAACTTTTTTTGCCAGGGCGGTCCCCAGGTGCTAGGTGAAAAATTTTGTGCGAATCGGACAAAGCGTGTAGGAGGAACACGAACTTTAAGGACATTTCGCGCTCTAACGAAAAAAAATTATAGGCGGAATTGGGCGGGGCCTATATAGGAAGATTCAGCTCCATTCACCGAACGCGTGGATATAAGTTTTTTGAATGTGCGACAAACTATGCAGAAGTTATTAGCCTAAACGCATTTTTTATGATAGTAGCGCCACCTAGCGGCAGACCCGAAAGCGACACATAATATCCCCATTTTCACCAGGTCTGACCACTTTGCCAAATAAAATTGACTTTTCGTATATGTTCAGGGGGGCAAAATCAAAGTCAATGGGGGCTAAAAATAATAATAAGAAACGAAGCAAAAACAATAGGGACCTTGCCGGTCGCTGGCTCAGTCCCTAATAATAATAATATCAGTAATATTAGCAACAGGATTCAAGCAGGACCATGGCAGGAGGCTCCACCAGGATCCGCGAGAACCTGCGAGACGAGAAAGCACAAGAACTCTGGGGAAGAAGTGAAGTTAGTAACATGCATGCAGAGGAAGAAAGGAGCTCAATGCATCATGGGAAATCCCCCGATACTCTAGGCCTATAGCAGTATAACTAAGGGATGGTTCAGGACTCACCTGAGCCAACCCTAACTATAAGTTTTATCAAAGAGGAACATCTTAAGCCTACTCTTAAATGTGGAGAGGGCGTCTGCCTCCCGAACCACAACTGGAAGCTGGTTCCACAGGAGAGGAGCTTGGTAACTGAAGGCTCTGGCTCTTGTTCTACTTTTAGAGACTATAGGAACCACAAGTAGCCCAGCATTCAGAGAACGTAGTGTTCTAGTAGGGTAATAGGGTACTATGAGCTCTTTAAGATATGAAGGGGCCTGACCATGAAGGTGAGGAGGTGACCATGAAGGTGAGGAGGAGGATTTAAAATTCTATTCTGAATTTTACGGGGAGCCAGTGCAGAGAAGCTAGTACAGGAGAGATGTGATCTCTTTTCTTAGTTCCTGTCAGTACTCGTGCTGCAGCGTTCTGAATTAATTGTAGCTTCTTAATGGATTTATTGGGGCAGCCTGATAATAAGAAGTTGCAGTAATCCAGCCTAGAAGTAACAAATGCATGGATTAGTTTTTCTGCATCCGCTGTGACAGGATGTGTCTAATTTTTGTAATATTGTGTAAATAAAAGAAGGCAGTCCTGGAGGTTTGCTTTATGTGGGAGTTAAATGACAAATCCTGATCAAAGATAACTCCAAGATTCCTGACAGTGGTGCTAGAGGCCTAGAGTAACTAAACTACAAAATATCTAAACTAGACAGTGAGTCTCGGAGGTGTTTGGGGCCAAGTACAAGAATTTTGTTTTTTGAGTTTAGCATCAGAAAATTGCAGCTCATCCAGGTTTTTATGTCCTTAAGACATGTTTGTAATTTAGATAACTGATTAATTTCATCGGGCTTGATCGACAGGTATAGCTGGGTATTATCTGCAGTTTCAGTTCCACTGCAGTTTGGATTCCAGGAGAAGGTGGGTGTGAAGGATGCCATCCTCTATCTACTCCTATGGGCTGATATTTGTGTCAGTAGAAACTGAATCTGAATTGCCCAACTTGAATAATTGCATTAAAAACCTGAATTTGAATTGCATAATTTGAATTTGTATTGTTAAACTTGAATAACTGTATTGCAAAGCTGAATCTGAATAGCATAATTTGAATTTGAATTTATTAGTTTGAAACTGAATTTGAGCCTCACTAAAAGTTCAACTTTTTATGTTCTTTCAAATTCAGATCTCGAAATTCAAATTCAGCTCTCGAAATTCAGATTCAGCTCTCGAAATTCAAATGTCGTAATCTCAACTCAATTTCAAACCACTAGATTACAATTTTAAGGTCACAGACGGGTCATGGTTTTCAGTAAGAGCAATCGAGTGCAGATGCACAGAGCTCCTTTTTGGCTAAGCAGCACGTTTGTTTTGACCATTTCCTGGACCTGTAGACATTGGCTAGAGAAAAACATGCTTAAGGATTATTCCCCTTTTCAGGTTCATTATTATATATATTTTTTAATTTATTTATTTATTTTTATTTTGGTTTCGTGTGTGAACCACTTTGTGTCGGACTGTTTTCACAACCTCGGTCAGTACAACACTGGACTGGCTGAAAGACTGTTCCTGAAAGAGGGATTGTACCAACTGTCTGTGGAGAGACGGCAGAGGAAGTAACTGTAAGTATTTTTAAGAATTGATGCTGTTTTTATTGTTGGTGTACCGCTAGCACATGCTAACAGTTGTTAGCTACAGGAGCTGTTAAATGTTTGTTAAATGTTTGCAAGATGAACTTGAAACTTATAAGGTGAGGTTCATTTATTAAGCCAGCTGGTGCAGATGTCTCCATATTCTCCACTGCTGATATTGTTATAGAGATTCACACAAAGTTTATTATAAGTTTATGCTGAGAATCACCAAGTGTGTGTCTGTGCTGCTGTATGTAAACGTACCGGAGGTAAAGATAGAGCTACCGTGAGAGAGAAATAGTCAAACTGTGATCAAGCCTCCTTAGAAGCTAACGTTAACAAAATACGGGGAGTAAGTTATGGTGATTATTGTTCATGATGCTTCTTGTGTAACTTTATACTGACGTGCTAACGTTATCTCAGCTAGCGTTAGCTTTGATGTTCTTCTGCTTCGTTCAGGTGTGTGTGTGTGTGTGTGTGTGTGTTACTGCTATATATATATATATATATATATATATATGTATTAACCTCTATCACATAATGTTAGTGTTTATACCTTAACTATGAGAACCAACACTGTGTTTTATGCTTGTCTTTACAGGTACAGCAGTGAGCAGTGACCTAGAGTCTACACAGCCCAGTAAGTTAAACATATTATATATTACATAATATTAACAACATTAGTCAAGAAATTGTTTCTAGTGAAGAAACACCCACTAAATGTACCAAAGTAATCAGAGTAATAGTATGATGATTACTGTAACCTCCCATCTGTTAATTCTTTATACACATTAGTTTACTGAGACCATGGAAACTTACATAATGAGGCAGAAACCTGCCTGCAATACTTGATCCTGTACAACATGTCAACATAACTGAAGGAAATACTCATCTAATAAAGTAACTTGTACTGTACTGTATCCACATTTCATAGTCTGATATTTTAACTTGAAAGTATTATTACCAAAGTTAACCTTCAGATATTTGTAAAAGCTGCAATTATGTTTTACGTTTTATATCATATAGTATGTCATTTATCTTCCAACAAAATAAAGTTTGAATGTGAGACAGTAATGTATTGTGTTGCTTACAGTCATTAATACAGGTTTAAATTTCACATTTTCATATTGATAGATGTTACACGAACCAGGTTTTCAACTCTTCTACATGCAGGAAATCTTCATAAAACCTTTGTGAAATAACATGTTATTTATATAAAACCACACTTATTACTGAATTTAAAAATGACCAAAACTCTTCTTAAAAGTAAAACACTTTATTTATATTTCATTCATATTCCAGTTACATATGTTGTAAGTAACAAAGCTATAACTTTTATGTAAACTGTGCAGATCATGTTCTCCATCAAGGTTTATGGTTTCTAGTATACTGAAGTGTGAGCTGGTAATGGAGCTCTGCAGTCAGTGTTCATCTTCATCAGTCTTCCTTTGGATACCCAGACTGTCCTGATGCTGCAGCTGTCTCTGTCCTCTGATGGGTCCAGGAACACCTGAGCTTCATCAGGTCACCTGTAAAACATGGCAGATTCAGTGTTACTTGTAAGACAGCACATAATATACAGTATAATATAATATACAGTATAATATAATATACAGTATAATATAATATACAGTATAATATAATACAAGTACAACAGCTCATTGTGGCTCAAAGTAGTCCTAAGTTATAAACTAAAATAATAAAGCAGTGTCTCTGGTGGTTCTCTTGTTGCTCTTGTGACTTTGACTATTTCTCTCACAGTAGCTCTATCGTTAACTCCGGTGCACGTAGATCAAGTTAATTTACACACCATAACACACACACACACACACACACACACACACACACCTGAACGAAGCAGAAGAACAACAATGCTAATGCTAGCTGAGCTAACGTTAGCACGTCATCTGCACCAGCTGGCTTAATAAATGAACCTCACCTTATAAGTTTCATGTTCATCTTGCAAACATTTAACAAACATACAGCTACAGCTCCTGTAGCTAACAACTGTTAGCATGTGCTAGCGGTACGCCAACAATAAAAACAGCATAAATTCTTAAAAATACTTCCAGTTACTTCCTCTGCCGTCTCTCCACAGACAGTTGGTACAATCCCTCTTTCAGGAACAGTCTTTCAGCCAGTCCAGTGTTGCACTGACTGAGGTTGTGAAAACAGTCCGACATGAAGTGGTTCACACACGAAACCAAAATAAAAATAAATAAATAAATAAAAATAATGAACCTGAAAAGGGGAATAATCCTTTAAGCATGTTTTTCTCTAGCCAATGTCTACAGGTCCAGGAAATGGTCAAAACAAACGTGCTGCTTAGCCAAAAAGGAGCTCTGTGCATCTGCACTCGATTGCTCTTACTGAAAACCATGACCCGTCTGTGACCTTAAAATTGTAATCTAGTGGTTTGAAATTGAGTTGAGATTACAACATTTGAATTTAGAGAGCTGAATCTGAATTTCGAGAGCTGAATTTGAATTTCGAGATCTGAATTTGAAAGAACATAAAAAGTTGAACTTTTAGTGAGGCTCAAATTCAGTTTCAAACTAATAAATTCAAATTCAAATTATGCTATTCAGACTCAGCTTTGCAATACAGTTATTCAAGTTTAACAATACAAATTCAAATTATGCAATTCAAATTCAGGTTTTTAATGCAATTATTCAAGTTGGGCAATTCAGATTCAGTTTCTACTGACACAAATTCAATTAAATTCAATTCAATTTTATTTGTATAGCGCCAATTCATAACAGAAGTTATCTCAGGACACTTTTCAAATAGAGCAGGTCTAGACAAATATCAGCCCATAACCGTTTTCTCTCCCGTCCTCTTCACCTTGTACACATCTGACTTCCAGTATAACTCTGGGATCTGCCACATGCAGAAATACTTGGATGATACTGCAATAGTTTCTTGAATTTCCCTTGGGATAAATAAAGTACCTATCGATCTAGTTGGCTGTATCAAGGATGGACGGGAGGGGGAGTACAGGAGCCTGGTCGAGGACTTCGTGAGGTGGTGCATGTCCAACTGTCAGCAGCTGAACACCCCCAAGACCAAGGAGATGGTGGTGGACTTCAGAAGGAAGAAACCACATCTCCAACCCGTGTCCATCGAGGGAGTCGATGCTGAGGTGGTCAGGACTTATAAACATCTGGGGCTGCAGCTGGATGACCAACCCGTTCTCATTCCCAACTCATCGAAGACTGACGCTTTGTCTCTGCCCTTTTGGCGTCCCCAGACGGAAATGTATTATTTGTTCCGCCGAGCGCCTTTTAGCGCTCAGGTGAAACTTTGAATGCTTGCCCGCAAAAGAGAATGCCGTTTCCACTGTGGTTGTCATAATTACATAAGTTAACTTATGTACTCTTCGTGATAAGCAGCAATGAGGTTTGTTGGCTGTTGAGCTGCTGTGAAGGTGTAATTAATTATTGTGTTTACATGTTTCATTTTCGGTTTATTCAATCAAACTGTAAAGTGTCTAGCTGTATATATGCTTGGTTATAGCACAAGATGTACTGTATGACACACACATACAGCATTATTTTTTTAAATATTTTTTTTCTTTCTTTAACCCAGTTCTCACGGGTTGACCAGCAATAAAGCCCTGTATTTTAATCAAGACCTCTTGCCTCATGCCTGTCACTGGAGGAGCTATATGTGTTGTTACTAATTTTACATTGTCGATGTCTAATTGTGCAGCTAACATAACTAACTCACTTCACTTTATACTTTTTTGTCCTAATAATGTTGCAAAATGATTCCACAATCATGCGTCCCATACAGCCGCTGATGGGTATGATGGAAGTTTCTGTAAACGTCTACAAGTGCCGCGGATGGGTTTACATTAGAGTCAATAGAAAGCCTGGTGCGTCCCATACAGCCGCTGATGGGTACCATATGCAGCTGTATGGGACGCCAAAAGGGCAGAGACAAAGCGCCAGTCTTTGACGAGTTGGGAATGAGAACGGGTTGGGATGACAGGCTGGACTGGACAGCAAACACAGGAAAGGGCAGAGCCATCTGTACTTCCTGAGAAGGCTGGGGTCCTTCAACATCTGTAAAAAAACTGCTACAAATGTTTTACCAGTCTGTGGTGGCCAGCGTCCTTTTCTATGCTGTGGTTTGCTGGGGAGGAAACAGCAAGAAGAGAGACGCCACTAGACTGGACAGACTGGTGAGGAGAGCTGGCTCAGTGGTGGGCACAGAGCTGGACTCTCTGGTGACAGTGGCAGAAAGAAGGACCCTGGACAAACTGCTGTCCATACTGGACAACGCCCACCACCTTCTACACAACACCTTCACCAGGCAGAGGAGTGTGTTCAGTGGCAGACTGCTGTCCCAATCCAGTCAATCTCTCAGTCAAGGCAGGGAGGACAATAGACAATGGACAGTTTCCTCCTCCATTTGCACTGTTTTAATTTGAATGTTGTTCAAACATGTTTTTTTTTGTATGTTTGTATGGCTACTGGATGCTTGAATTTCCAAGCAAGCACTTGCCGACAGTGGCAAGGAAAAATGGCATACATTAGCAAAATCCAAGTTCCACGTATAAATCTAAAGTAAAAGTAATGGTAATGGAAGTGAGAATAATATTAATATTAATAAATACTACTACTACTAATAATAATAATAATGATAGAAATAATAATAATAAAAATAATCTGCCACTGGATTCAAATCCTAAATGTATATGGTTTTCACAACAAATCTAAAAAAAAACTCACCCTTTAATTTATCAAAATAAAAATGTTGTGCAAACAGTACTAATTACAGTAAGATATTGAATATCATCACACTTTATCACTGTCCATTCATCGTTTGACAAATCTAAACACCATTTGAAACGTGATATCTAGTACCCACACAATCTTTGTTTGGATTTTGGTATCATTTTAATGAAGAGAGACTTTTGGAGATTTAGATGTGAACTGATTTAGCATATTTTCAAAAATATAGAGTGACAGATTTCTGAATTGACTATAAGTTGCAGAGAGGCAAACTTTGGTTCCAATTCCGTGCATGTGCTGAAAATATTTAAGCTTTGTAAGAACTACAGGCGATCTGTTTAGATTTTTTGAAGTTTGAAATGTGAATTGTCTAGAAATATGATGTAATAAATCATGCCCACTTTAAACAATCATTACTAAATGACCCTAGATTGTGCTAATTGACTTTTGTATGAATCCATGTTGCTGATCACCAGACACAAACCTTTTAAATTTGTATCGCATCCTAGTGGCAGAGTATGCCAGGGCTGCTCAGTGTAGCATCTGAAGATGTGCAGTGAGTTTGCAGTGAGATTTAAAAATGTATAATTTCAGAATTGTAAGGTATATCAAAAATCCCACCAATCTGATTGAAAAGAACTTCCCCCTGTACAAATGATACAGATACCAGAAGGCAGAAGTATTTGGCAAATTGGGAGTGAGACCAGGTTGCTCAAATAGGATTGAACAGCAACAACAGCCTGCAGTCAATGTGAGCGTGACAACACTCACTATCAATTAAGGTCTATGAGAAGTCCTATGAGAAATGCATTTACATTATTAGAGAGAATAGGCTTGTGGCTACATTTTGATGCCTGTTATGTTCGTGCTTAGGAAGATACATCTGCCGAACTGAGAGCAGTTTAGAATGTTTTTTCTGGTCCCAAACAAACCACTGCTCCACAGGTGGCCATGTGACACACTAATTAAAGCGCCAAGCTCCAAAAGCTGTAAAACCCTTCACTAAACATTTTGAGCAAATGCACAGTACAATGTTGAGAGATCAAAGTATTTTGAGTACTTTCTGCCCACATGTCAACCATTACATCAAATATCAGCACTAAAAGTAAGCGCATACATTTCATGAAGAAGATTTTTTGACATTGAAAGAAAGTTTGTGGGACAGGACTAGATAGACACTGAAAAACGGTAAAATAATAATAATAAAGAGAAAGAGCTGCAGCTGTCACAATTAACCCCCTGGGCAGCACTGACCATGCAGTCAGCAGGGGTAGGGGATATAGTATCATAACAGTAGTTCTTACTTTCCAACACATTTATTACCAACTTTTAAACTTTACTTAAATTCAATTTTGCAGTTAGACAGCATGACCACTAGATGACACCATGAGATAACCTCACTTATTATTATTATTTTTTATGTTGTGGGTTGTATTAATATTTATATTTAGATGTGTCTTCTGTGTGCGCCAACAGACTAACAGAGTTTCGCAGTGGCAGTGCTTTGCAGTCTGCTGTCTGCCACTGATTCATACAGATGTAAGACTGTGTGAAAGGAACATCCAGTCTGTGTTGCATGGTGACTGCTCAGAGGCCAAACGATTTTGCTCATCACCCTCTCAGACCTGCAACTGACATTTACTGTCAGAACAGACCCAATAAAGCTTCCTGTTGATCCTTTTGATAGTATGGCACAATGGAAGACATACATACCCTCTATAATTTACAGGTAAGTGTAGTGTTATGAGGCATATAGTTACTTTATACGTTTATAAAATTCCTTTTTGAAT